TAATATTAAAAAATTCACCCCTCGGCCCCTACGGCAAATCTGGGGGTGCTGGTGGGCTAGAAAGATACCAGAGGACCTAATGCAATAATCTAGACTAGTATCAGGGTGCTGCAGTCTCTAATTATTGAGAAAATAATGTTTACATTTGATATTGAAAACGAATAATATTAAAAAATTCACCCCTTGGCCCCTACGGCAAATCTGGGGGTGCTGGTGGGCTAGAACGATACCAGAGGACCTAATGCAATAATCTGAACTAGTCCCAGGGTGCTGCAGTCTCTAGTTATTGAGAAAATAATATCTAAGTATGCTATTGAAAACGGTGAACCGCTTGGCCCCTACGGCAAATCTGAGGGTGAGGATAGATAGGGAACATACTAGAAGGTCTATTCGAATTATCCAGGGTAGTCGCAGATTGCTACAACTTCTGTAATTTCAGAAAACTATTTTTCAATTGATATGTTCAATACTTGTCTGGTCAACTGTAATTTTATGAATCTGAATCTGGTACAGATTCGAATATGAATCTAACTTCAGCCACATCTAATTAGTGACGTAATTTATCTTTAGGCGCAAGTTGTTTAAACTATTTTTGTATTTTTGACATGTGTTATGTCATTACGTTGCTATGGAGATGAGAAACTTTCAAAGGTACTTTCATGAATTATGAACATATTCGACAAGAATATTTTTGTGTAATTTATAAGAGTGTATTTTCAAAGGTTTAGGTTTACGATGTGCTACATGAATTTTGTTTAGAATTTCGAGATGAACCGAAATATGGCATAATAAATATGGAACACCTATATGTTCCATTAAAGAAAACACAACTTGGTTTCGTCATAACTTTTTGACTGATCCTGTATACTTATTTTGTCTTTATTGTAATAGATTTTAAAAAACACTAAAACTTTTGTATCTTAAAACTTTTTGCTAGCTATCTTACTTTAGGAGATAACTAACCGTTTCCATACATATCAGCGACCTCTTTCATATGTCGATCAAAAACATGATTTTGCCAGAGAGCACAGAAAGATTAACACCGATCCGTGCTCCACTCACATGTTGGAATTTCTGGCAGGGACATAAGCAGGTCAAGACACCTCCCTCTAAAAACTGCAAAGATGCTAATTGAAAACAGCTTCACCATTATATAAGTACGAAGGCTTTCACGGTCGGTGTTAATTAAACTAAAACTAGAAGTAACAGTAGCACTATCACTAGAACTGTTTCGGTTCGGTTAGTGAATTCGTGACTTCGAACTTGCTTCTGAAGAAGGTTGCAACATGGCATCCGAAACGTCAAACATTTTTTCAAAAAACGCACGGCTTAACCCGAAAGTTTCTAGTTCTAGGTCTAGTGACAGTGTTAGTTCTAGTTTTAGTTTAAGCTTCAGCATACTTTAATAACTTCACATAACTGTGATATACCTATATGCTAATTATATAAATAATAACCAAGCACAAAGTATGCATGTATTGAGTTTTAAAATATGTTGTAAATAGAATCTACGTAATGATGCAATACTTGCCTATTTTTGCTAAACTAAACTTTGTGGTTATTGAAAAAAATGGGAGAATGAAAACGGCATTATTCTCCCTCCATATTACATAAACATTATATAGACAACGACAAATAGGTTCACCTTCATCGATGTTCAAAAGTACATAATATTTACTTTACTTTATTACAAAACTTGTAAAGCATCAACCTTACGTAACTATATTATCATACGTAACTATATTACGTACGATACAAAATGTATAAATCAAAGAATTATTGAGTACATTCAAACTCTTTGCCTGTTAATACCACGAAAAGTTAAAGTAATGAGAACGGAGCAACAAAATGGAATGTTGTCTATGGGTCCCTACCACCGGTATACAACAAGCCACTGCAGCTGATGAATGCAAAATATATTGGTATTGTGATTTTGACACAGTAGTATTCATTGCTCCGATTGGAGCTGGGAAAAATATTGTAGATATTGACAGTAATATTAATTCTTTTATGACTATCATAATTTATTTGTTCCTTACTTGTTATTCGCAATTTGTGGGGTTAAGAAACTGGTAAGGAGTTAACTTTTTCATTCTCTGTGAATAAATATGGACAGAGTTGTTAGGGGCAAGATCTGTTGGTGTGTTTATATAATTTATTTCTGAAAATTTTAAATTTAACCCAAACTCCTAAAGAATTCCCAAAGCTTCCAAGTTTTTTTTTTTCTAGAAAGTTTTGTTCTTAAAGTTGTTCCTTGTCGTATATCATTTTAAAGTGAACTGTTTCGTCGTTAATTTGCTGCAAGTTTATTTGTTTCAAGTTTATTTCAATTAATTATTTAACGTTTTTAGATACGTATTATTTCATTTCATAATACTAAAATTGAAGGAGTCAATAAAATATTGGATTACTAGTCATATTTTTGGATTACATTCATAACCAAACATTGTTAAAGCTCCCCTGACTATAAAACATATTGTATTTGACTCGTAAAGTTAATTTAGGGAATTAAAGTGATAAATATGATAATTCCGAATAATTTTCTTTTGGCGCCGATTCCAGACAATTTGGCAAATTTTCTCGTGTATTGAGTGTTATTTTAGAAACAATTTGTTCTAAGAACACCACAATGTTATCAATATTGTGCTTTAAAATAATTATAGAATCTTTTACTTCTAAGAAAATAATAAGAATATTCCTTAAATAATATTAAATATATTTTAATAAACGTCAGATAGTTAAAAATAAAATCCCATCATCTTATTTTTGCGAAAAACCAAATTGTATCGGTAGCTGAACATATTCACATTCCCAATTCTAATCTTAGCAACAGTTCTAATATAAATCGTCTGTTCCAACTTGTTAGGCTCCTCGGAAACGAGGTGTTTATACGAATGCGTACGAACACTTTAATACATACTCAATTTTAAACTTAACTTCCTGCTTTTAATGTGAACTCATTATCCAATGCCACATGCTGTAAAACCTATATGAGTAATTCCAACTAAAAAAGATACTATAAGTTTAATTTGTTAAATCACATTGCCAAATCCTGTTGTATACAACACTAAATCCGATTTACAAAATCTGTGTTTTTGCCAAGTTTTCGATGACTGTTTCGTAGATTACACCTAACTCAAAAATATACATTTGACTATTCAATGATAAATAAGTTAAAATCGGATCGGTTTGGGAGTATTTTTTTTATCGGTCCGTCAGGAATGTTGGCACGGATACGCTATGAAGGTTGGAAAAACCCACCATAAGGTGACGATAGCCAAGGTATTGGAATATCTTTTGAGGTGGTACAAGTGCCACAGGTATCGCGTTACGGGTGAATTGTTGCAGTTTATGAGCTTTAGCATTTATGTGGAGTAGAACAACTAAATTTAGTGAACGTGTTCAGTAGGTGAGTCAGTAGACGAGTTCAAGAAATAACGAACCCGGTGGAATGTCTATCTAAAATTATCCCCGTGTATAAAAATAAAATGTTACACACAGCAGAAAAAAAAATTTTTTTCTAGATCAAACTTTCCCAAAATTGCAAAACTTAAAAATCTAGAAAGTTCCAATTGTATTGTTCAAGGTGACATCTAAAAAAGATTTGTATTCTTAAATATTTTAATACGAATCTATTTTCGACGACTTGGCAAGATGTACATATCGCATTTCGCATTCAAATTTTTGAAGATTTTTTTTCAATTTGTTTATGGTTTCTGTGTGCTTAAAAATACGGTAATAAACTTTTGCTTATATGATCTCTTTTCGGCGATATTTTGTTCAAAGTTCCGGAAATACTCAGAATTCTGGATACGATTCAAAAATTTACTTACAGTTATAAATGTTTTCTCCTCTTAATATAAGTTGAAATTTAGCAACGCGTGTATCATGTGCATAGATGGTGGAAATTATGTGCTAAAGTTAACCATCACCTAATAAGTAATAGAAAAAAAGGAAAAGGGTAAAAAGAGAATAAAGGAAATATAGACCCATTCACCAGAAAAGCGTTTAATACTTCAATAGTTAACAGTTACAATAAATAATCTTAATGATAACAAATCGATAAAACTTATAAAGGAGATAGCCACATAATAAGATTTTTAAAGAAAGCGAAACGTAAATAAATAGAAAAATAAATTAAAGAAGGCGGTACACTTTTTTAAAAAAATATCTACGTTCCTACGGTTAAAGGCACAAATGTTCGTGTTCGATATCTTTGGCAGTGTAAAAAAGAACACCAAAATCGTGTCATATTCGTTTAGATATGTAAAGAGATTTTGATGTCCTTTTCTGTTCGGCATATATTTTTAATTCGAAATTTTCATTGAGTGTTAGTTCCTTCTACTTTAGATAGGCAGATCGAAGCTCACCTGGCACTTGCAAAGTAGCTGTTGTTGTTACAGCACCAACTTGATTTGTTGCTGTACATGTATAAGTCCCAGCATCCTCTGAAATTTGCAAAAACGAAAAAGAAATTAAACAAGTAATTGAATATTGATTATTTTACCTGGGAAAGCTTGTGGGACTGTTAAGCGACAAACACCGTTCCTATAAAATAGTTGATGATCGCTTGAACTTTCTATAATTCGTCCATTTTTAGACCATAAAATACTTGGCGGTGGTTCAGATTGAACGATACATTCAAATCGAGCTGTTTGACCACTTACAACAGCAATATCCCTCAATGGCTAAAACAATAAATATTAATATTTCCGTATTGATTCATTCTTTTTATCTTACAGTTATAAACATGGGAGCTCTTTTATTCATTTGTTGACTTGGTGTACTTCCAGGTGTACTAGGACAACTTGGTGGAGTTTCGGTTCCTTTAAATTGAGCTGGAAATTATCGTCGAATTAAAAAAATCATTTTAATCAAATTAAAAAAAAAACATCTACTTATACTCTAATGTTACATTATAAATCATAATAAATAGCCTGTTATAGTCACTCAAAACATTCGAAGCACACTAAAGTGTACCTTGACCGTAATTATTAAATGCCGGAGATGTACTTGGTAAACTTGGAGAAATTGAAATGGGACTGCAGGAGGATTGATCCCATCTATTACCACCAACACCCAACTGCTTCTTTTTCATTTCCCCTTCATATTCGGACATTTCACTTTCCGAAGTTGGTTCCCATTTGACGTTTTTCGAACTCGGCATAAATTTCTTTGGTTTAAATGTGGGCTTAGCGTCCTTCTGAGACGTTTCGTGTATGACGGGCATCTCAATATCGTGGGATCTTTTCGGCGGTTCGATTACAGTTTTTTTCGGGACGGGTATTTGGCCGTTTTTACCTTCGCCAGGTAAAATAATACCGAACTCGTAGCCAAAGTCGTATTTAAAATAAATTAAACCAGTGTCGGGATCATAGTGTTTTGTGCCTATGTGTAGGTTTTAAATTGAAAAATTCGAAGAAAATTTTAATATTCTACTCACCGTATTGAGCTGCTCGGGATTCTTCCCTATAAACCTGGGCGTCCGTATCGTCGTGCGGTTTTAAAATCGGCTTTTGAACTGGTTTTTGTTGCATATCGCTGACAATATCGCTAACAAATTTTTGCGTTTTTGATTTAAAACTTTGCGTCATACTGTCCATATGTTGTGATGCCATTTTGGTTGCGGATGTTTTTGAAATTTTATCCGGAATATAGCCATATTCAGGTGGAGTACCTGGTTGGATGGAGTTAAATTGTCTTTGAGATTTCGTTTCTCCAAACTTCTTGCTGATTTCCGTGATGCTTTTTGATTCCGTTGATGAAGTTTTTGTAACATCATCGTATTCCATTGGACTATAAACTCTTTCGTGTGAAGATGGTGCGCTTAAAGCTCTTGTTACTGGAGGTTTTACTTTTCTGTAGTGTAAATCTTCAGTGTCACTTCCTGCAGGTGTCCATCTTGCTCTTATTTTTGTAGATTCAACCTCGCTTTCATAATCACTTTCTCTAAATTCACCAGGAACGAATTTCGTTGGTTTTGGAGATGGGGATGGGGCTCCTTTATATTTTTGTTGGTCACCAAACTTAATAACCCTGGTGGTTTGTTGTACGCTCATAGTCCTATGAGTGTGCTCAGTTGATTCATTAAAATGCATTACATTAGAAGTTTCTGTTTGCACTGCATTTTGATATGGCATACTTGTTGTTGATCTATAATATTGAGTTTTTTGCGGCCCCGGAGCGTACGCAATTTCTGGTGGTGTTCCTGGTTGAAGAATTCTTTCAGGGGCTGCAGGAGTAGCTATAATAACATCAACAATATCGTGTTTAGGCTGTGGTTTAAATGCTGCTGGTTTAGGAATTGGTTTTACTATCTCCTCCAATTTCACAGTTTTCATCGGTTTCTCAATCGGTTCAAATTTAGGTCTCATCACACCTGATTGAGGTGGTACATCAAATTGAGATGGTGGGGTTGGAGTTCTTTCTCTTCCTTGACTCACTCTACCAGTTGGAGTTAAAGCTGGCTTAACAGGGCGATAAGCTGGATCTGGTTCCGTCGAACTTGGTCTCCAAATCGGAGCGATTCTGCCTTCATATTCACTTTCATAATCACTCTCACGGAAATCTCCTTTAATGAACTTTGATGGACTTGGAGGTGGTGGGGCTCGTGCTCTTTTTTGTCTTGCAGCATCAGGTTTATACGGGAAAGGTTCTAATACTTGCTCCTTTGTTCCGTGTTGAATAATCTCTTCTGAAGTTGACACTGTTGTTATTATTGGAGTCGGCACCAATTCCTGAAAAAATTAATAGTTAATGGAAAAATTTTTATACAAATAAAAACACAACAAATAAATAATTTTAAAGACACACATCATAATAAAAATAAATTATTTTATTTTATTACTACTTTTTAATATTTTTTGATTACAATAAATAAGCTGAAATTGAAAAATCATGCAATGTTAAGCAACAATAACGAGCGCGTGCTTAACAATACAAAGACGAACCTTTTTCACCGACGTACTGGACTGAACGTGTCTCTTATGTTGGGTAATTTTAGGAGTGGGTTTAGGAGAAATTAAACTTTGAGATTCCATAACCGTTCTAGAGTCATAATGTTGTTTTATTTCTTCTCTTTCTTCTTGCCTTTCAGTTTTTACCGATTTTTTATATCTTAAAGTAAAAGGTTCATCTGTATCAGCCATGTAACCATCTACAACGAAAGGTTTTTGCTTAGATTTTGGTGATGATGGTTTCGGTCTGATTGGTTCCGCTTGAACAAATTCTGGAGGAGAACCCGGTTTAATATCTGGTGGTGAAATTGGTTTTGGAATCTCTTTCTTTATATCTTGAACATGTTTAGTGAAATGTTTTACTTGTTTCTTTTCCTTTCGTAATTCCTTAGCAGTTTCTAAATCAATTGTTGGTCTTGGTGGACCTTCGAATGTTATGGGACGTTCGAATTTTGAAGGAGGGATTGCTTCTTTTTCGATTGATCTAGATCGTTGTATGGATACCATTTTTGGGGCTTGCACCCTTCTATAAGTTGGTTCCTCCGTATCGCTCATATAAGGTCTCCATTTAACTGGAATCCTTACAGCGTCTACATCACTTTCGTAATCACTATCAGTAAATTTTCCTTTAATAAATTTTGATGGTGTGGGTGGTGGTGCTAATCTCGCTGGTTTTGGTTTTTCGGGATCGGGTTTAAAAGGAAACGGTTCTAAATCTGGAAATCGCTCAAATGGAATTTCGATTTCTTTTTTAGGTTTAGCAGGAAGAGGTGGGGCAGGGCTCACCAATTTTTTAGGTGGAAGAGGGGGTGGAACTGTTCTTACAGAACCTGGTAATACTCTTGTTGGTCCTTTTTCTAATTCCTTTTCGATTTCGTGTTCTCTCGTTTCTACGTACGATACTCTTCTTTCAATAATTGGCGATTGAGCGTAACCTATTTCTGGTGGAGGTCCCGGTTCTAAATATACTTCGTCAGTTATATCTTGCACTGAAACAGGTCGTATTGGTAATGTGTCGATTGACGGCTTAATAGGTTCCTCAACACGTTTTAGAGGCCAAGATTTAATTATATCCGAAGCTTTCGTTCCACTTTCTTCAACAAATGTTTCTTTTCTTTCCGAAATTTGACTAATTTTGGATAATTGTTGTTCGTTTACTTTATGTTCGTGAGTTACCTCAGCTATGTAATGGGGAACGTATTTATCATACGTTGTTGTTGTAGTTTTTTGGACGAATTTTTCAGAAGTAGCGGGGATAACTTTTTTTTCAAACGATGTTTGTATGGCTTCTTGAGTAATTGTTTTTGATTCTTGTTGAGTACTAGGCGTCCATCGTTTTTCTAATGTGCTTTGTGAGGACCAAGTTGGAGTAGGAGCAGGTTTTGGTTGCTCAGCTGTTACTGGTGGCCAAACTTGCGAATGGGATTTAATTTCCGATTTGTGAGCCCAACTTTTCTCCATGGAGAGTGCGTTTATTACAGGTTCAGGAGTTGGGATGACTGGTGTTGGTTTTTGAGGTTGTTGCTTTTCTTCGACGATTTTTTGCGATGCCCAAAGTTTTTCCATTTCTAAAGCTTCAGTGGCCGGCCTATAAATAGGTACTGATGATTCAGCTTTATAAATTTCTGTTTTTCTAGTTTCAAAAACCGGCGGGATTTTTATATCCTTTTTTGGTGATGGAATTTCAGCTGCCGCAATTTCTTTATAAGATTCTTCTAATTTTTTTGATTTCTCAATAATTTCTTCTTTTCTTTGAGTGGGGGGATAAAAAATTTCTGCTGGTGGTTCCGGAACCAGCTTGAATTCTTCGTGGACTACATCTTTTCCGCTTGAAAATGTGCTATATTGTTGGTAACTATGTGATGAAGATTGTGATGTATGACTTGTAAAAGCTGGTTCGGATGGTTTTGGAATTTGAAAAGATTCCTCTTTTCTTTGAGGTTGTTTCGGCGTTTCAGCTTTTGAGATTTCTTCAAACTTTGTGTACATTTCTTCTCTGATTGGCGCTACTTTTGGTAATTCTTTAGGTTTTGGTGGTTCTTCAGTTTCTTTCATTTTCTTTACAAAAAAGTCGAGGGATTGCTTTTTAGTAATAGATGATGTCTCGATACCTTGATCTTCAATAGTTTGTTGTGTTTTAATTTCAACAGGTTCTCCAATAATTTCGTACGTTGTTTCTTTCTGGACCTTTACAGGAATTTGTCTAACTTCTTCGGTAGTTTTTTCCTGTTTTGTTACCACAAATGGTACGGGTGTTGTTCGTTCAACCTTCATGGTTTTAGATTCCTGCTTTATTGTTTGTTCGGTAACAGAAGAAAATTCTGTTTTAGATGATTTAAATTCCGATTCCGACGATTTCATTGTGGATTCTTTAGAAAGAGGAGTTTCGGTTTTTGTAACTTCAATTTCTTTTTTAGTTTCGACTTGTTTTGGTATTTCAAAAGAAACTGGTTTAGAAACCGGAATAGGGACAGACTTTGGAATAGGTTTCGGGGTAATTTGAGAAACTTGTTCCTTCGCTGAGACAGTCTTCGTGCTCTTATCAGACGCTGAAGTCTATATCGACGAAACATTTAATAAATATGAATGATTTTTAAACTATTTAACAAACAATTTTATGATTAATAAGCTTACCAATGTTTCATGTTTCCTAACATCTTCGAAAACAACCGTTTTCACTACTTCAACCATAGTATCTGGTGTCGGTTCGTAAACTGCCATATCAGCTATACTTTGTGCTTCTCCTCCTGCGTTGACAGCTCGTACCATATACTTACCAGTATGGTTCAATTCAGCTGCAAAAAATTATTGAATTCGTATTAAAATAACAAATTTAAATATAATTTTTACCCTTTTCAATGGTAAGTGTATGACAGTTTCCCATGCTTTTTATTTTATATCCATCTTTCATAGAATCTTGAATTGGCAACCCATCTTTATACCAAGAGACTGTAGGTTCTGGTGTTCCAGTTACTTCAATGTTCATAGTGATACGATCACCTTTTTTAATAACTTGTGCTTGAAGACGATGTCCAAAAACAGGTGGAAAAACTGTTTCTATTGAAACAAATATAAAAATAAATATAATTAGCTGAAGTGGCTTACACTCAACTTTTTCACATTCAATAAATTTAGTTGCAGATTCGGGGAATTTCAGAATACTTGACGAGGAAATTTGAAAAGGCTCCTATGTAGCAGATTACTGTTATTAGACTGAAGATATTTATTAACATATTAAATAACGGAAAAGGAGTCAACACTTATCTGTCTCATCCACAAAAAGGGCTAATAATAATCGGATTACCGAAAACTATTCCTTCTAAACGAAACTTAGAAAGTGCTGGCCAAAATTTTATCAATGAGGTTGGAAAGAAACGCGGATAGAGTTGTCGGGGATTACCAGAGCAGTTTCAGAAGGGGATGATCAACCATCGATCACATTTTTACGATTAGATATATCTTGTATAAGTGCTATGACTATTGATAGATTATTAAACAAGTATGAAGGTTTTTACAAAAATATAAAACTAAAATTTTAAATCAAAAAATACTCACTTCGTACAACCAAATCAGATGTACACACAGCTTTTCCAGCCTCATTAACAGCTGTGCACGAATATTGACCAGCATCATTTGAATTAACATTTTTGATTTCCAATCGAGCATGGTTACTCTCGAAAGTAATTTTTATTCCCTCACCTCCACTCAATGGCATTCCATTTTTAGTCCAGGTAACTTCAGGAGTTGGTTGACCATCCAAAGTTCCTTCAAAAACTATATCGGCACCTTGATCAACAATTTTTCCATCTACCGGTGTAATAAATCGAGGCGGTCTCGCTTTTATTACAGGTTTATGAATGATTGTTTTCGTTTCCTGTCCGCTAGTTGACACGAATTTAGTTTGTTTTTCTTGTATTATTGGCTCCTTTCCAAATTGTCTATATTCTTCCACTTTGTGGGTTTCATAAATTTCAGGTGGTTTTTGATCTTCCTGTTTAAAAACGTGCTCTTTTTGAGAAACAATTTTATGTTCTTCTACTTTCGGTGTAGATGTTGAAGACGATGATATAGTTTTACTGGAGTGTGATGAGGAGGATTGCATAAACACTTCTCGTTTTAAATTGTAATTGGATTCGGTAATTTGTTGTTGATGTTGCAAAGTGGACATCGGAGGTGGTAATTCTAATTGTCCATCGGGTAAAGTTACATCGGTTATTTTTTCGACGGTTAATTGAGCACTTAAGGTTGCTTTTCCTGCTTCATTTTCAGCAATGCAAGTTATTTTTCCACCGTTTTCTTTTTCTGCGTCGCGAATTGTAAGGACTTGTCTATCGCCGGAAGTTGAGATAAGGAAATTTTCGCCTGAAACTGGTTTGTCGTTGAATAACCACTTGAATTTTGGAGTTGGCTTTCCTGCTGCAATGCATTCGAATTTCGTTGTAGATTTTTCAAAGATTGATCGATCGTGGAAGGTTTCTTTGAATATTGGAGCAATTTTTATTTCTTCGTGTACCTTGACTTCAACTGGTTTAGAAGACTTCACTATTAGTTGTGCGAAACATTTTGCATCACCACTTGGATTTGAAGCTTTTACGGTGTAAACACCGCGATCTTCTGGGGTAACTTTTTCTATTTCTAGTTTTAAATTTCCTTGTTCATCATCTGTAATTTTTACGTGATCACTGGCTTGTATTGGTTGATTATTTAGTATCCATTTTATATCGGGTTTTGGTTCCCCAGATACAACTGCTTCTAGCACAACTTTTTCTCCTTCCGATATCAAAACATCAGTTAATAATTTACTGAATTTAGGTGGCACACCTGGTTTTTTATCTTCGGCTGGGTTTACCATGAGAGTGCATTTGCTGGATGCTTCTCCAGCTGAATTTCTCGCAACCACTTTATATTCGCCTCCATCTTCAGGGAGAGCTAATTGAATAACCAAAGTGCATCGATCTCCCTTAAAAAGGAGTTGAAAATCTGACGATTCTTTTACTGGCCTATCATCGTGATACCAGATAACCTCTGGTTCGGGTTGCCCGATTATCACACAATCAAGATGAACAGTTTTTCCTTCATCTGTAGTTATGTTTCTTAATGGGACTTGAATTAATGGTTTCACGGGTTCCATGTCACTTGCTAATTCAGAATCGGAAGTTTCGGTGGGTAATCGTCCTTTCACAGAAACAGTGCAAGAACTGGTCGTTTCGCCGGCGATATTAAATGCAGTTACAACGTACGTGCCAGCATCTTTAGGAAAGGCTTCGTTCACTAGGAGTGTCGCCTTATTACTGTCCTGCAGCAGCTGAAATTCGAAGTATTTTTAGAATGGTCTGCATTTACCGGAGAAGTACGCGGATATTTGCAGACTACGAGAAGAGGAGGTGACATTTATAGAACTGGGATGTTCTGGGTTATTGATTTTTATTGCGAGAAAAATAACGAAAGGAGAGATGTTAGTATTTTTTGGTTTCAAGCCAAAAATGAGATACGCCTACTCAATATCCGATAATATATAAAGAAAAATGAATATTATCTATTTTTATTAAATCGAAACGAATCGAAATAATTTTTTTTTGATTATTTTAGATGATGGGAATTAAGTGTTAGTGCAAATCCTTATTACTTACTTTAAGTTCTCTTGTTTCCCTCACAATTTTTCCGTTGTGTGTCCAAGTAAGCGTTGGAGGAGGTATTCCCGTCACCTCGCATTCCAATTTTATCTTCTGTCCCGCTCTGGCCATTACGTTGGAGAGGGGAGATATAAAAGTGGGAGATTCTGTTGGCTCTAGTGCTAAAACAATAGGAAATCAAAGTTATTATAACATAAATATTTTTTTAACGCAACTTACGTATAACATTTAACGTTGCACTGCACTGAGCTACTCCTAAATCATTAACAGCTTTACAAATGTAATCGGCTTTATCACTCAAATAAACATGATCAAATTTCAGTATTGCTTCACCATTATTATAAGTAATGATATAATCAGGAGAATTATCGATGCAATCAGCATTTTTGTACCACTGCACGGTCGGAAGTGGGTTTCCTTCGACTTTACATTCGAATTGAAATGGTTCTCCTTCTTTCATGATAGCCGGTTGTAAATATTTGACAAATGTTGGTGGAGATAATTGTTCTTCGGGTTGGGTTTCTTTCACTAGTAACGAAGCACTTGTTTCAGCGGATCCAACGGCGTTTATAGCTTTACACGTGTATTTGGCTGAGTCGTCAGCAAAAGTTTCTTCGATAGTTAACGTGCATAATCCTTGATCGAACGTTGTTTCATAATCGGGCAAATTTTGAATCGACATTCCACCTTTGTACCATGTTACAACAGGTGTTGGTGTTCCAGTAACATGGCAAATAAATGAAAACTTTGAACCTTCTTCTATAACAACATCACTTAGCGGTGAGACGAATTTAGGAGGGATCATTTTTGGTTCTTCTTTAACCGCAACAATCTCAACGGAGCTTACTTCTTTTATGATTGGTATTTCGCGGACTTCAATGGTGTGTTTATGAGTGATGGTAGATTCTCTTAAAAGTCTAGCGGCTTCTTCGGCAGCTTTTCTGGCTTCTTCGGCTGCTGTAGCAGCAGCATGCGCAGCGGCTGCTTCAGCTTTCGCAGCTTCGAGTTTAGCGTTTGCTTCTTCTTGTTCTTTACGAGCACGCTCACGTTCTTCTTCAACTGATTTCAAATTTTTAGCCAAAGCATTAAGTTCTTCTGTTATTAATGAGAAAGAATCCATCATCCCCGTATTTTGAACCATAACATCACCAACTTGGGCTACTTTATCTTGACCGAACAATTCGGAAGCTAACTTAGTGATGTTTCTTATTCTTTCGTTTTGTTTTGATTCGCCAGGTTTTAAAAACTTTTCTATTTCGTTTAAAAGTCCTTGAGCTTCTTCTGGTTTCTTCACGGTTGTGGCTCTTCGAGTGATTGATATTAATAGACGGCTTCCTTCTTTGAACCATTCGTCAGCCTAAATAATTGTTATTAGAAAATTTTGTTAATTTAAGATTAATACTTACCTCATCTACCAATTTGAAATATTTAATACTGAGTTCGATCAAATTTCTTGTATCGATTATTTGATGTTTTAATGAATTCCATCTTTCTTGGAGATCTTGGATGTGATGTTTTATACGGGGTGAATGAATGTGTTGATCACGTAACATTTGTTCACCTCGTTTAACAAAATTATCAATCAGTGGTTCCAACTCCTATATATTAAAGATATTTAAACAAATATTATTTTAAAAAAATGATATTAACTTACATTGATAGTTCGTTCGAAATAATCAAAATTAAGTAAAATATTATTAGCAGAATTAAGTGATTCTCCATATTGTCCTTTAACAATCTCTAATTTTCTGCTAATATCATCGATGGTGTTATTGATTTGTTGTAAATCGGTGTCGAATTGGCAAATTTGTCGATGAGCTTCCAATTCATCTCTTCTAGAACTCCATTCTCTCTCCCAATTGTCTTGCCTTAAACGTACTGTATGTTGTAGCTTAGATATGTCTTGGTCTGCTGCACTTCTTGGTTCCTAAAAATCAGCGAAGCAAATTACGACAAAGCGAAACGGTTGATATGGTTGAAAAAGTCGCTGCATGTATATAAAATAATATACAATTCGTATTCGAATTTTTACTAACCTGGGTTGTGATGGTTTTTATTAACTGATCACAATCAGTTTGAGCTAATTTAAACATTTCTATAATGGTATGTTTTGTATCTTCGTGCTCTCTAATTGTTGATTCCAATTCGTTTATGTTCGCCGGTAATCCAATTTTAGTATGTCTACTGCTTAAATTACCCACAATTCTATCCACTTCTGAGATGTTATTAAAATACTTAACCATTTTTTCGAGTAAACTTTGATAATGGGTTGTAATTTCAATTAGTTTCATGCTCATTTCGGTGAGTTTATTTTTAACGTTAAGCGATCTTTCGTCGATAGTTGGCCCGCGGGCCATCAAAGCTTCTGTTGTTCTTATTCGTTGTTCTACTTCGCATTGTGCCCTCTTTATTTCAGGTAAAACCGTTTCTAATTTCTTTTCTACGTGGTTCGATATATCTCTAGGATTGGTAGCGTTTGTCGTAATAACCGGGTACAATTGAGAATCCAACTTTGATACCCAATTGATTGTCTGGAAAATAAAAAATAAAATACACGACGCGAAATAAATAAAGGAATAAACTGCAAGCGCAGATGTTTTTGTGAACTTATTGCATACGTCGAGAGCGATTAAATATAGAAACTATTCCAGGATATTCCTGCTGTGACCACGTTTACTTAAAGGAAGAAAGCCACAGCTGTGCGACGATTTTATTTTAGGTTTGTCGCAGAGACAAGAATCTGTTTGATGTATGGCAGTGTGTTATATCCAAAATTATAGTAAACTAGGATATAATGGGTTCAACATCGATTTTCACTTACCTTGGTACTTTCCATTATGTGTTCCTCCCACTTTGTAATAAGCTCTTTTCTTTCCACGACCTCGGTCTGGAAGGTTTGCCAGCTCCTGGTCACCACCAGTTGCCTGTTCTTTAGCTTTTCCAACACTGACTCTACGCTACCGCAAGCCTGTTTCACATCTAAGTATGGCTCGGATACCTAGAAATAGAAGCATATGTATACAACGACTTCTCACCATTCCAGATGCACATTGTGCAGCTCCCATCATTTCTTAATTACCTACCTTAATTTCTAAAACAAACATAAATCTTTATTGTATACTCGGAGTCTAATGTACTCCATATGTACCGTAATGAATTATTTGGAGATTATTTTATTTATATCATTAAAAAAACTCAAAATCGTATCAAATAATTAACAAAAAAATAAAAATTACCTTCGAAGCTTCAGAAATAAACGTTAATCCAGTATTTTTCGCCGATTGATATAATGGAACTAAAGATTCCCAACGTTCCTCAAGAACTCGAAATTGTTCATCAGAAATATTTTTGCCCGATTTTTGTACTACATCTTCCAATTTATCCATTTCCCGCGTAACAATATCAGCTTCCTCATGAAATTTAACATAAATTGTAGACAAATCTAATCGTTTTTCCAATATATTCTTTAACTTAATCCATCTGTTATGGAGTGCTTCAACTTTTTGATCAACCTCTTGCCGTTGATTGTCGTCTAAGAACTCGAGTAATGGAGGGAGTGTTAATAAAAGTGTATTTATTTCGTTGCCTTTTGTCTAAAAATGTAAATATTAAAATTTTTTTATTTTAAATTATGAATAGTAGTACTTGTAAGTCGTTGAGCAATTGATTATGTAAGTACAAGAACTCCTTGGAAAGACGTAGATCCACACCCATATTTTGGTGACCCTGCAAAAAAGCTTCGGCAATCTCAATTAACCATTTATAAATCGCAGATTGTTGGTCAAAGAAATTATTTAAAGCTTCGTTTATCCTACGATTTTCTTCTCTATGCTCAATACAAATTCCATCCAAATGAATCTTTTTATTTTCTAATTCCTCAACCATTCTATTAACACCTTCAGTACCAGTTCTTCTTCCAAATAATTGTAGGATTGAATGACCTTCGGAAAGTGGTGGAGATGTGATTTGATCGATTAAAATGGAGCATTGAGCATGTAATTTGGCTAATTCCGGAGAGGTCTTTTTCAATTCGGTGGTGGTTAATTGGATTTCGATTTGATCCAGCTTGTTAAGCGCCTAAAATAGTATATTATTAATTAAGAGTTTCCTTCCGATTTAAAGCAAGAGTAGCGGTTAATTTTACACTTAGCTGGAGCGAATAATTGACAAACTCACCGCTTGAGCTGATCTAAAGAACGCTATAACTCTATCGAGAAGTGAATCGCGTTGTTGAAGATCAGAAAGATAATCTGAAGTTGTCGACAATACAACATAAGCCTGTTTTGTTGCATCTTCTCCCGCAAAACATCCTGTTAAAACCAATTTCTCGGTCGCCTTTGTTATTTTTAAAGCTTTTTCTTGGAACTGTTGTGCTTCGGGAAGAAGTCTTTGGTGTTCCAGTTTTAACAATTCAGCACTCGACGCTGAATCACCCAATTGATCGGTGTTTATTAAAATTTCTCTTCTATCTCGTATTTTCTCTTCGAGATCTTTCATATCGGCGGCTAAAACGCCTAAAGCTAAACATTGTTCAAGTTGCTCTTTTCTTTTTATAAACGTTAATTCTATGAGTTGTCGCTTTGAGTGTAATTCATCCATCCAACTTTGTACTTGAGATATTGCTGCAATAAAAATTATATTATTTGGAATTTAGTTGTGATTTTTTTTACCTGTAGCAACGGGAATTCGTATTCGATCGGGTCTCGAATCGAGTGTGCCCTGGGCCCCTAATTCTTTTAATTTCGCTATTAGGGTATTTCCGGTATGCATGGCCGCCATTAATGCCTCAAGAATGGTTCTTCTTTGGTCGTGGATTTTTGTTAGGAAGTTTTTGACGGTTTCAATATCGATGGGGAGGTTTTCTTCTGTACATAACGCGTCTAATTCTTTAACGTTATCGAAGAAATCTTTTGCCCTTTGGTGGTATTGCACGTTGAGATCAAGGATTTGCTTCCTCAGTTCTAAATGGAAGTTGATATCTTTCCACGCCCTACCTAAAGATTCGGCCATTGCGGCATAAACTTCTGCGCGCGGTTTTTGGGTAGAAATAAGTTGATCAGCTTGGCGAAGGAGCTCTTCAACTGGACTTTGTTTATTCTAAGAAAAGTCAAAAGAAAAAATATTGTAATTTACTCAGAAAGTGACATAAAGACGAAATGATGATTACAGATTTTTTTAGACCATCGACCTCCAGACGTAATTGGTACCTGTCAGGTATTGTTGATGCGTCTCGAGCGAATGCTTTTTCGTTTTTCGACGGTTAACCGCATCAAGAACTGGTTAATTTCGTTGAAACTTTACGAAGGAGAATTTAGAAAGTGCATTCTGCACGTCTCTTCAGATGGAACAGATGTAACAATGCGATATTAAATGTAGGTTGGGCGGACGGATAAAAAGGCCACTATATCTCAACTGAATTCCGGTTTGGTCTATCACAACAATGCGTTGCGTCTCCTTTCGGAGCCTTTAGATGTTAGAGAAACTGGTTTTGTAAAGGTATGGGTGCGGTTGAATACAACGGCCCTTTTGTTGGTATTTCCAATGTATTTACTAGGATAAGTTATATATAAATTGTATATGAGTTATATTTAAGTTATTTGAGATTTTTTTTTAAACCAAATTCTTTAACATCTATCAACAAAATCAGCGTGAACGTTGAAACAGTTGACGTCACGTTTGGTCGACCTAAAAATAATTCTTCCGCAGTTTCAAATTACATTGTCGTCAGTTTAAACAGAACATTGTCGGCGCTTTAGGTCAAATCTATTGAGGGACATTCAGGTCGATATATACAAGAGATCAATCCATCGTAATTGTCGGTGTTGTACAACCGCTACGACACGTTACGAAACATTGCCAATTATTTTCAAAACGCTTAAAGGTAAATTTTGTTCGCTTAATTTACCGTTACGTTTTATGTTCCCCATTGTTGAGATTGATGGAATGATTTTATCGCGGATATCTTACCTGCAACTGTTTAAGTACTTCATTGTGCGCTCTTTGTAACTCTAAAGCTTCTTCAAGAGTATTCCCCAAACTCGTTAATTCGGGTGTTATTTCTAAAATTTTTAATTGCATCCAATCTCCGCACTGAAACAATAAAAATATGAATTTCAAATTAGAAATAAAAAAATATTTGTCGGCTTTTAAAGGTCAACAAAATAGTGAGTCATTGGTATTAAAATATTTAGAAGTCAACATATGGTGATTTCAAATTTATTTTTAAGAATTATTTATACAATGCAAGGCATCGTTTTTATAAATCATAATAATTAACGTTCAAGACTGTTTTAAGTAAAAATTGTCGAGTTAAAGTCAACAAACTTAAATGGCAAACGAAATAATCCAAGAACGTATTGAGCACACACAACAGTTGTTGTATACAGTCGGCATTAACATCTGTTTTCACGGTATTGTAAAGCCAAGAACGAAACGATGTTACCACGAAATTTACGTCCTGCAAAAGTTATTGGACCTATTGTAACTAGAAACTATACCACGAAGCGAAATAACCGTTAAATAAATTATTTCTTTCGTTTCGCATGATAAAAATAATGAGTGCAATTTTTCGAGTTATCCAAAACTTCCGTTACAACCGGACAATTATTGTTATTTGTGTTGTGGTTTAAACGGTCGTGGTTTCGCGATACATTTTAAATCCATAGTTAGAAATGTCTCACAACCGTTACCCATTCTCAGCGTCGACTACCAATTTAAAATTCAATTACGATGAAATTACTGAATGCTAATATCGACCGATTAAGTGTAAATGAATGCCAAAGGTGGTAGACGACTGCAATACAACATTAAACCGATCTTTTCTTTCTTTGGCATCGAGCTAAAACTTTAATACAAACACAAAGTTAAATTTAAACCTTCAAACCAATCCAAATAATTAGGTCACCTGTTAATGAACTAATGAAAATTCTTTCTGCCAAATGAGTTCCGATATTGGGTTAATGCAAATTTTAATTTAAGTAATAATTTGCTCATCGATAGTTTTAGGTGTTGTTGTTGTTTATTATGTATATCGACCTTAAAAGTGACCACAGACGTTCATTCGTTTGAAAGTGAACCCGCGTAATTTGCATTTCTAGGCCGGGGTCGCTTTTATTGGACGCATTATACACTTCGTTTGAGTAATAATTTATCTTTCAGCGAAAAGCGTATCTATTTATAAATCGTATTCAGAGTGATGTCATATACGTTCGCCGTCTTCGTCGGAGAGACCGCGAAAAAGGGGCAAATAGGTGAGAACTGAACGGACGATCGTTCGCCGGTCAATTTAACAGCCGTTATAAATTCTAAACGATTTGTCCTAGCTTTGTTTGTTTGCTTTGCCATGAGAAATGACGAAATCGAAGTAATGTAAAGACTCGTTTACTATACGAACATAAAAACTGTGAGTAACGATCGTTCGAACATTTTTCCAACTTGTGCTAGTCTACCAAAGTGTGTGTGTGTGGATTCTTCTTGTGGTCAGCCCGAAGTATGGCTAGCATAAATTACTACGTTAATGTTTCAGGTCGTCGAGGCGCGTGGGACGAACATTTTATCCGCCGATGGAACAAACGTGGATCACTAAATATAAACCTGATGTGTGTGCGTGCATACCTTTAACGACAGAATTATTTTATAGGAAGGAAAAAGTAAGGTTGCTCGTAAATAGATAAGTGAATTGGTTTTAGATGTATACTACTTTCAATCCATTAAATACAAAAATAAAAAAGAATGTTTGAGGTAATAAAACTTCTTTATTTAACTTAGCTCCCAATTAAATCGTTTTTATTTGATCATTTTAAAAATTTAAATATCAAATATCCTTATAGAATGGGGCCGTTACACTTTTTTTTTATTGGCTTATTCCATAGCTTAGCAAAATTGAAGACTTCCATAATTTATTATTTTTCAAACTGGGCTTTAGTTTTTCCAAAGAAAAATAATGAAAATTTGAAATAACTTTGGAGACGTCACCGTTGTTTCGCACGCGATTGGTTGAAATAAAAATCAATAAAAAGTGCATGAGCGAGATGCCACGAGAATCTTATGCGCTAGAAGAAGGGATCCGAACCATGCACGTTTGTGTCTTCTTGATCTTACGCGAAAACTTCGTAAACGTCACCAAAGCTTTTATAGAGGGGATTTTGAATTTTAATATTAATTATTGCAAAAATTAAAGAATTTTAGGACCTGAAAATGTTACCAATCCTTCTATTTTTACGTAGTTTATTGATTTTTTGAAAGACGGTCTTTCTATTCGATAGAGGGTAACGGCCCCAGTATGTGTGAGAGATGTTTTTTAATTCATTATTTAATCGAATATTAAAAACATAAATTTTATTTGATTTAAAACATAACTTCTTGCTGTACAAAGGACGACGAAAATGACTATAACCTTTTTCGATCATAACGTTACTTTTAAGGTCAGTGAAGATCGCGATCAATTCTTCATAGTGATCATATCAAAAAAAAACTTATTAGCTATCAATAATAACATATCTTGATTGTCCTGACTAATATGGCTTATGCATGGTGAACATAATCCTTAAGAGTACCTCAAAGAAGTTAAATTTAGAAATAATTTGGAAAAAATCTGCCTATATTATAAAAGCAAAACTTCCTCTAATGTTGACAACAAAACATCGACGTCATGCTACTTTTTTAGGTTTTAAACTCAGTTTAGAGATCGATATCTTCCTAACCGCTCGATGAAAAAAATTGCGGTAAAATTTATTGTAATCACTGAACATTTCTACGTAACATATGTGAATTTGAAAATTTTCGGCTTCGCGATTCTTTTTTACCGCAAGTGAAATGAAAAAGTGTCCGATTTTTTAGGCTGCCGTCGCCTTCGTTAGTTTGCGATTTTTTTTCTCAAAATCTATCTCGTCGAAAAAATTTTAAATTAGAACAAACGGTAGCCTGCTGTATTCTTAATGAGAGGCATATTTTATTTTTTCGGTGTTTCATATAGTTTCGCGAAATATCGCGGTTTAGTAGGATGCGGTTATGTCGACAACAGCTAGTTGGATATCTATGCGGTTTTAACTAAAATATGTCAAATAATTACATTTTTCGAACTGACTCACTAATTTTTTTTATAGCGATTAACGCGAATTATAAGTGGTTATTTTAATGAGCAACTTTTCTATCTAAGTTTAATGGGATTGTCTGTGCTTGTTTGCGTGAGACAGGTTCGTTAAATTTCATTTCAATGAAATTGTCAATCCTCAATTTAAAGTTTTCTTTACACCTAACAGTTCATTCTAACAAGTGTTCATTCAATCTTTCATATTTTTGGCAAAGTCAATGGTAAACTTTTCTAAGGTATTCATGAAAATACCTCAACGAAAATCCAGAGCAAATAAATCTGATGGCCAATGAAATAATTAATGTTCATGTGCAATTTTGTAAAATGTCTACCTTTGTTGTACAGCCGAAACTTTCAATAATCTTGGTATGTTGTTATTTAATTCTCTATGCTACGTTTTGTCAATAATGGATTGATCAACTAATCACAAATTATACCACACTAAACAATCAATAACCAATGTCATAATGCAGTTTTTCTCAACGTCATGTAGAGCGAAGAATCTTAAAGCACTTATATTTTTTATACCTACTTATAGTAAGATACGTATCTGTGTAATTTATTAGTTCAACCTATTAAGGTGATAGATTAACAATGTAGAAGATTAGATTTGTTAAAATGACAATTATAGAGAAAGTATCCATAATCTATGCCAGTGTTCCTTAACGTTTTGTTGAGTTAGAACAAAACATATTAATCACTCAAAATTCTCCTGATGGCGTCGGATAAATCTTTTTCCTATTCCTCCATCCACCTCTTTCACTCTCTCCGGTTCCCGACTAATTCCTTTATATCTGCTCCAGTCTTCCCTCTCTTCCTCCCAACTTCTGCTATTCTTTTCACCCACTTCTTCTTAGGTCTTACCCTCTTTCTCTTATCCTTATTCTTTGCTTCAAATAGTACCTTTTTACTATTGTGTTATGTTCCATTCTAATTATGTGTGCGTACCAGTTTAGTTGCTTTCTCTCTATTTTGCTGATTATCTCCTCTTGATCTACTCCCAGTCTTATTTCCTCATTCCTTATCCTATCCCACTTCGTCTACTTTTTACCTTTACCGTAAAAATTTCATTTCCATTGCTGTGATCTTTCCTTCTTGATTATCTTGGAGTCCATGATTCACTGGTATATGTTAATATTGGAACTGCCACTGACTTGTACACTTTTAATATTATCTTTTTATCTATGTCCTTCTTCCCAAAAATTGTTCTGTTTAGAGTATGGTATACGTTGTTTGTCTTATACAAGATCAGCATATCATCCCAGCTTAGTGACTGAGCTTATTGAGTGAGACTTCACAACGTTAATTGACAAAAATAATTGGCAATATCTATGTATTCACATCTAAGCTGGGTTCAAACCTCTAATAAATTAGTAAAGTTAGAAATAGTTTTTAGGTTCCCGTCAGCTGACACATCAGCAAGCTTTTGATTTTGTTTTAAGTTAGGATTTGATGTGAATTTTCGATTGAGATCATCTACTCGTGTTGTTATTTCTGCCAAACTGAAATTTTGATTCTGACACAAAATCATGGAATGTAGTCTTCAAGTTCTTCAAGATTTTCACTGTGGTAAATTAATATTGTATCCAATAATAGTGCTATTCTATTTTTTGTTGCGTTGTAACCTGACATAGACTTATCTTGTTTAACTATAAACGTTCTTAGGCATTTTCTTCTAAAACAAATCCCTCATCAACATATCATCGTTAAAAAACGTTGATTAAATCAACGTTTTAATCAATGTCTCCTTTCTTGTCTTTTAAATAATTAAATAAACTCCAAGCTTTATTTTGTGTGGCTCTCTTACATAGTATTTTAGTTGAATGTACCAACTTACTTTATTTTCTATCTATATAAATAATAATCTTTCCATCTGAAATAGTTTCATCAATTTCTTTTTCTAATTACAATTGTATTAATTAATGTGCATTCTTTGTTGCTTTGTTTTCAATTTTCGAGCTAATTTGGTTTGTTGATTTAATTACATTTTCTCCAAGAA